TGTTGATGAATTATTAATGACACAAGCACTGTGATAACTACAAATTACTTACAGAGCTATTCATATTTATTTTAATAAAGTTGAAACATCAACATTAGGTCAGCACAATCTAACATTAATATGCAGATTTTCCTCTTTTAAAACATAGTATAACTTACTGAAAGCTCTTTAACAAAATGTGTGAAATTGTTTTCTGTGTTAGATCTAGATAGACTCACATGCTTATCTGATTGTCTGTATTGTACAGTAATCCATGGTCTTCACTAAAGTAAAATTCTAATGGTATGAAAATTTATTCTAATGCCAATAATCTTGTACTAAACTATAACTTGTTTGGCCTTAACATTGGAAATTAATGCTTCACTCTTAAGTGATCACCAGCTAAACTAGCAGATTTAGTTGAGTAGTGCTTTACACTGTAAGCCAGTAACAACCGTGCCATAACATTTCACTGCAGAAGTAGCAGTGGTCAGTGTTTAACATATTAGCACATTTTTTCAGTGAATGTGACAGAGAAATAATAATACTGTACTTCCTAATAGAATATTGATCAGTATATTAAAGTGGCAACATTACGATTGTATTGAACAAGTAGGAAATTTTAGTGATCATTTTTAGCTCACAATACTTAGGTTGTATACACTGAAAAATTGGAAATAAATGTGTATTTTCTTAAGGCACTAGACATTATATAATTCATATCAAAGAGCCATAGAATTTTAATACGAATTTGTTACTAGAGGTAGCTTCCTGCCTTTATTGGAAAAAATCACACAGCTTAACAATTTATAATTTTAAAACCTGAAAATAAGACGGGCCAAATAGCTGAGCAGATTAAAGTGCTTCCAATAGGTTCAAGGGCCAGGGGTTCTTTGATCCCCGGGCCTGCTGTGCCAGCCCCGCCCCTGTGGCATGCTGAGACGACAGTTGAGACTGGGCGCGGTAGCACACCTGCAATCCCAGCTCTTGGGAGGCTGTAAACAGGCGGGTCACTGCGAGCCCAGTCTAGTAGTGAGATCCTGAACACCCTGTAGACCCTTCCCTAAAATACAAAAATAATGAAAATAAAACCTGAAAATGTACATATTATATGGATTTTTTTAAACTTACGTATTTGGTGCAGGGTCTCGCTACATAACTCTGACTCATGATGAACCTTCTGTTTCGTCGCTGGGATCACAGGTGTGTGCCACCACACCTGGTTTTGGTGGCTGGCTTGGCGGGCCTGGCCCGGGGTGCAGCCCTGGGGTTCCAACCCAGGTCCGTGTGCCTGCCAGGCTGGTGCTTTACTGTGGGGCTGTCTCCCTGTCCCTGTGTATGGAATGTTAATAGCCCACTTTATATTGACAGAAGTCTTACATTAAAAATGTTGAATTAACTAATACTGATTACAAAGACAGATCAGGCTTTAACATCTTCATACACACACACACACACATGTCACATGCACCAAACATACATGTATCATACTTTGTGCATATGTTACATGGCAAATAGTTTATAGTATACATGTACTAAATATATACTATTATATATAAACATATACTATTATATGTAATAGTAATTCAAATTGTGACATAAATGTAACAGTGTAAAATACATTGTGGTTATAAAAGAGATTAAATCCACTCACAATTCCTTTTCATTAAAAATTATGCCCCTGAAGGTCATTATGTGAGCAGTGTCAGCATTTAGATTGATGAACACTGAGGATTAAGTATCTGTTTGAGAGATACACAGTTCAAATAATACTAAAATCTTTGAGAATTTTTTTTTTTTTTTTTTTTTTTTTTGGTGGAACCAGGGATTGAACTCAGGCCCTTGCGCTTGCCAGGGAAGCACTTATTCCACTGAGCCATCTC